CAGTTTTTCTGTTTTGAGGTAGCCTTTTGTCGATCTTCGAAAATGACCTTCCAGGCAACCCCTTGAGCTCCACAATATACCAATGTAAACTTAAGAACTTTCTCTTTAAAATGGTGCATTGAACAAGAATTTCCATCGAGCCATTTGGAAGGTATTGGCTCCCAAAGTAGGTAGCTTGAACTCGAATGGACACTTAGCCAAATTCTTACCTTCTTCTTTCCAACTTCAATGGCTTCTTTGTCAAGTAATTGTGGGTTATCTATTGACCCATTTGGGATCATATCAGGCCCCCCTGTAGAAAAAGCTTTGCCCTCAAAGCTTGTGCATTTCTTCGATCAAAATCGGCACAAAATTGATCACAAATTGGATCACAAGTAGGCTGTCCAAACTCCCTGTCCTGGAAGAGTAGGGCATAGTTCATCATGTCTAGAATTGGGGATTTCCATTCTTGGCATCTCCAGCTCGGTTCATTGTCTCCATCAGCTTCCTCAGTCATGGAATCGAGTTTCTGTACCATCCCTTTGCCTTGAATCGACGTCTGCAGCGTCGACTCGTCTCCTCTTTTCTTCCCGCCATCGTCGCCATTTGAAAATGACGAACTCAGAAATCTCAATCGAAAATTGGGGGTTTTCGATCCAGGCGTTCCTGGGCTGAATTGCGGGTTCCGAGAGCTTCTTGTGATGCTTCCCAACAATTCCACCTCAACCACTTGGTTTGAATCATGCCCGATCGCCACAACCAATTCACTCATTTTTCGGTCGAGTTTACCTGCGTTCAGATCACTTTCAGCTCGAATTGGATTCCAAAATCCAGCTATCTTCATTCTAATTTGACTTGCATTTGAGTTTTCTTGAGACAATTGGAACGTGTCTGCACGTTTTCCCGAGTTCGAATCATTACCAAACTCCCTGATGAGATACCCCTTTCTCCTCTCCTGCTCCGTCGTCGACGGGGAACAAAGTTGTTCTTTGCTCGGTGGCTGGGCTCGTTGTCGCCTGATTGCTGTGAGTACCAATCTCCGAGCCACCAGACTACCTTTCTCACCTCTCTCCACCTTACCTGAGCTCGATTGGCCTCCGATTGTCGTAGGTCAGCACGAGCCTCGGCCGGCGACAATGGAGTCAGCTTCATCATCTTTCCATCGAGCTTGAACGTGTATTAGTTCAAACGCCCATGGTGCGTGACGCCTCGATCGTACTGCCAAGGTCGGCCCAAGAGGATGTGTGCAACATGCATCGGAGCCATGTCACAAAGAATTTGATCCTTGTACTGATCAATTTCAAATTCAACCCACACCTGCTTTGTGACTTTCACCGCACCATGATCGTTGAGCCAGTGCAGGCTATAGGGCTCGTGGTGCTTCACTGTGCTTAGCCCGAGCTTTCTGACCATCTCCATACTGACGATGTTCATGCAGCTTCCGCTGTCAATCACCATGGAGGCGTTTTCCCTTGAACTTTGCAGTGAGTGTGAAACGGATTCTCACGCTGCTGAGTCTCGGCAGTGGTTTCAAGGGTGAGAGCTCGATCCTGCGTTAACTCCTCCTCTTCTTCCTCTGAGTGTCCCTCGCCGTCGCGCAAGATCATGGTCTTTGGGTTGGGACATTGGAAAGACTTGTGGCCCTTACCACCACACTTAAAGCATTCGACTTTGTTCATCGTGTTTCCAGCACGAACCTGACCTCCTAGGGAAGCCACTGGCTTCACGTTTAACGGCCAAATTGCAGTCAGAGCAGTCATCGGAGTAGACTCTGCTGGGTGGTTCTGTCTCGGTGCTATCACTCGTCTTCCCGCAGCTTGCTTCAGCTGCTTCTCAATCTTCAAAGCCAGGTGGATCGCCTCGTCCAAATCTATAAAGTGGCAAAGCTCCAGCTCGTACCTGATCTCCTTGTTCAATCCACAAGGAATCGCGAGATCGTGGCCTCAGAATATTCTCGAACGTCGCCTCTGGTCCGGATCAGTTCGAGTTCTTTGTAATACTCGTCGTCAGAATGAGTTCCTTGACGAATTGTCTGAAGAGACTCGTGCAATTCTCGCCAGTAATACGCGGGCACAAATTTGTCTTGCATCATTCCTCTGAGCTCTTCCCAATTCGTCACAGGTGTTTGTAAATTGCGTCGCCGCTGGACTTGTACCTGTTCCCACCAGGTAGTGGCGTAATCTTGAAACTTGTAGATTGCTAATATCAACTTCTAGTTTTCGGAGTAATTTCCGCATTGGAAAAAAGAGTAAGATCTTGCGTTCCCAATCCAGGTAAGCCGAGGCACTGTTCGTGCCGTGAAACGTGGGAATCGAGAGCTTGATTCCCTTCAGCTCCGATATCGGAAGCTCTTCCCCTTCGTGCTCCATCCGGCGAGGCTCGAATGGACGCCGATTCCGGAATTGCCGATCGTCGTGGGGCATCTCCAGAGCCATCAATTGGGGCTCCAAATCCTGAACACGCTCAGCCAGGACTCGATCGGCTTCTGGGTTCCTGTTTGCCGACGGGGTTTCAAAATTTCCCGGTGGCGTAAAATTCGTCTCAACCTGGGTTTGCTCATCAGTTGCCGCCGTTCCTCCGATCTGCTGTTGTCTCCCTGATCGACTCAACGTGTTGACATTTTGACTCAGAGGAATTGGGAAGAGCTCAGAGGAATGATGCGAAACAAATTTGTGCCCGCGTTTAACGACCGAATTGCAGCCGGAGCGTTCAACGGAGCAGACTCTGGTGGGTGGTTCTGTCTCGGTGCTAGCACTCGTCTTCCCGCAGCTTGCTTGAGCTGCTTCTCAATCTTCAAAGCCAGGTGGATCACCTCGTCCAAATCTATAAAGTGGCGAAGCTCAAGCTTGTACCTGATCTCCTTGTTCAATCCGCAGAGGAATCGCGAGATCGTGGCCTCGGAATCTTCTCGGACATCGGCTCTGGTCAGGAGCAGTTCAAGTTCTTTGTAATACTCATCGACAGAACGAGTTCCTTGACGAATTGTCTGAAGAGACTCGTGCAATTCTCGCCAGTAATACGGGGGCACGAATTTATCTTGCATCATTCCTCTGAGATCTTCCCAATTCGTCACCAGTGTTTGTGAATTGCGCTGTCGCCGGACTTGTACCTGTTCTCACCAGGTGGCGGCGTAATCTTGAAACTCGTAGGTTGCTAACAGCAACTTCTAGTTTTCGAAGTAATTTTTGCATTGGAAAAAGAGTAAGATCTTGCGTTCCCAATCCAGGTAAGCCGAGGCATTGTTCGTGCCATGAAACGCGGGAATCGAGAGCTTGATTCCCTTCAGCTCCGATATCGTAAGCTCTTCCCCTTCATGCTCGATCCGGCGAGGCTCGAATGGACGCTGATTCCGGAATTGCCGATCGTCATGGGGAATCTCCAGAACCATCAATTGGCGCTCCAAATCCTGAACACACTCAGCCAGGACTCGATCGGCTTCTGGGTTCCTGTTTGCCGGCGGGGTTTCAAAATTTCCCGGTGGCGGGATATTCGTCTCAACCTGGGTTCGCTCATCACTTGCCGCCGTTCCTCTGATCTGCTGCTGTCTTCCTGATCGACTCAACGTTTCGACATGTTAACTCAAGGTCTCGAATCTTGCCGTCAAGTCCTGAAACTTCTCGTCGATTCAGGTGAGTTCACAATTAATAAATGTCTGCACACCCTCACCATCTCTCTGATAGAGTACAATTGTACGTTTAATGTATCTCTTTCCCTTTTCGTTGTTTTCGTTATAAAAGCTCACAATTCATCATAAAACTTTCTATCATTATATCACACAATATGAAAAATTTGTGTAATGTTATTCTATAACTGTTACGTAATTACATGTATTCTGTGGGAGTACTACGGTACGTTTAGTTTATCCCTTTTTCGTTTTGTTGTTTTCATTATAAAAGCTCACAATTCACCATAAAACTCTTTATCATTAGATCACACAATACGAAAAATTTTGTGTAATGTTATTCTATAAGTGTAATATTTTTGTTTGCAATACACTAACCGTTTAATCAAATGTAATAGTTTTGTTAACTTAATTTTATTATTAGACTAGGGGTGGGAATCGGTCGGTAAACGGTAAACCGTTTACCGAATTTACCGGTTTCGGTATACCGACGGTGGGCAAACTGGTTACCGTTTACCGATACCGATTTGTAACCGGTTTACCGATTACCGATTTACCGGTAAACGGTTACAAACCGGTTTACCGGGTAACCGGTTTACCAATAATATAAGTTTTTGAAATAAAATTTTATTATTAACTAAATTGTTATCTCATTAATTTGTATAACATAAAGATGAGCTATTCTTTTACATAACCGTTCGGTTATGAGATATTGTTAAGTTTATATATGGAGGGATAATAATTTCTTATAAATCACTTAAACAAAGGTATCACATATGTGTTTTGTAATGATTATTACACTAAGTTTAGAGTCGACCGAAGAGTGTTCGATCCACTTCAAATACGATCGATGGCGACTCCAAAAAGCGAAGACGAGCCGATCAAGTGACGGTTGCTACAGTAAGCTTATGAGATGGGTAAAAAAGGGGCCATGCAGTAGATTATTAGCTTCTTTTTCTTCCTTGTTGTCAATAGAGAGTTCCACTGACCTTTCGAACAATCTCCCTTGTTCACATTAAAATGAAGGATAAGGTTGCCCCAAGTATTTAAATCTCTGGTTATTCATAGGCTCAACAGAACCTGTTGTGTCAAGCAGATCATCGTTGACACGCCCAAATTTGCTAACAGTATTCATCAAACCAACAAAGATCATTTCCTGATGATTGTATTTGCCATTACCAAGTCTGTTTAAAGTCCTAAACATCTCTAATCGAATTACTATGTGAAATCGTGAAGTTGTGAAGTAGACATGAATCGACACATGGGTATGAAATTTAGAGATACATTGTTGAACTCAACACTTGTATTCCTACTGATTTGTGCATGTCCTTCAATGGAATAAGTTGTATTCCATTGTGCAATTGTATCAAGCAGAGCAAATACTGCAGTCCTAATGCAGCAGGACACTCCATTACAAGATTATTTATGCATGCATTCCCTTAATACCAATGGCCATTTGAAACTGTGTACAATAAACATCATAGATTGGCTGAACAAATTCACAAGGTTTTTAGATACAAAGTACAAATGGCCTGAGAAATTTATCTCAGATTCTCTCTTCTCTACAATATCTCACCTCCCTTACCTCAAAAGTCTGAAACTTTATTCCTCTCTATGCCCCCTACCAAGTATATAATTTCCCCTATTGTGGTATGCTTCATGAGATCATCTTTACTTGGTCTGGAAGGACCAGAACTAACTTAGATTAGACATTACCTTATGACTAGTAACTTGAGTGAAATTAAGTTAAAAGGAAAGAACAAATCCAACTCTAGTTGGATGACAAGTTACTGCAGTTGGAAATCAGGATCATCTTCAGTGAAGTTTAAGGATGTAGAGACCTAGATGGTCACCTATCATCATTCGAACAGCGATTGAACTCGTTCTGGAGATGACAAATCGGCCACGCTCTTGAACTGCCATGAATGAAGAACAAACTTAGGAATACATCCATTTATGATGTATATGGTGTTTGCCTACATGAGCTGTTTTCTAACATATAGTTTACCTTCTGCAGTCTATACTTTTCGCGTATGGCATTGAGGGGACAACGACTAATGTTGAGCTGCAGATCTTCCAGTGCCAGTACTGTACTTCTAAGCTCTGGTGCCCTGTAATTAGTGTAATGCTCTAGAGTTGGATTCTGTCACACATGGTAAAGGCAGCCTCTTTGGTTCAGTGAAAACTTGATTAACAAGAAACAGACAGACGGACAAAAGGGAAGTGCAACATGGACCAGATAACAGAGAGAGAGAGAGGTATACCCAGGGGTGAACTGACTGATTGAGTGTCCATCTGGCCAGAAACACAGCAGATGCAGCAATTAAAGAAGGAAGGAACTTTATAAAGTCATATTCAACAAGAGTCAACTCTGCTAGGTAATTTGCCAAGTACTCCAGTTCGAGACAAGGATCCTGTTACAGAATTAATACAACCATCACTAGTTAGTTTTTGTGATGTCTGGTTCACTAATCCCACCGAGTTGTTTAAGTGCAGAGGCTGCAATCATTTTTTTATGCTCAAATACCTTGTAAGAGGTCTGCGCTGCTTGAATGAATCTCCTGAAAAAAAAAACAAAAAGTTGAGAAGATCATATCATTTACTTTTCTGTTAGACTTGGAAGGGGATATCATTCAATGCTCTACCTCAGAAATGTCTTAGTGGTGGGAACTGACAAATTAAAGTGCATCATATCGACAACTTGCCTCTCCATTTTCAATACCTGCAGACACATTAGCAGCTTCAGTATTATCCGGTGTCGCAGGGTCCAATGCAGTTCAAATGTGAAACATAATAAGACAGAATATCTGCATTCTTTACATACCTCTTCTCTTTTGTAAGTATTATCAGTGATGAAGCAGAACTCTTCTACCTGTGGAGCCAAGATTTCTTCATATTTTCTGAGACCATAGATAGGAAGACAGCCCATATAAGAATGATTTAGTACATCAGGATGATCCAATCAAGCTGAAACTATATAGCAAACAGATTTTACAGCAAATGGAACTTACGATGCGATTAGCATGCATGTCACACCAAGTAGTTGGAGTCTTTGTTTCTCGATATAAATTTGGGAGAGAGATCGGTCAATGAGGTTAACAGTAAGGTAAAGGGTATCTGGAACAAGCTTATATTCTTCAGCAACCTGAAGATAGGATAGGAAACTACCAATCACAATTCACACTCACTCATTAACTGATGATTAACATGGTTTCACACACATAGAAGCAAGAAAATATAGTTTAATTTTAATCATAGAAGGTTTCCCTACAACATAAAAAGAGCTCCTCTTTAGTTTAGAGCAACAAACACCTCTAGAAGTGAAACGTGAAACCATACTTGCATTACCTAGCATAAACTAATAGATTATAGCTGTGGTTAAGTATACAAACCTCTATAAGCCAGTCAATTAGTATTCCTCTCATGTTTGCAGTGACATCACTCTGCAAGGTCTCCATATAATTAGCTGGCGCCCTATGGTCAAGCTGAAGAATGACAAATGTAAAGGTTAACCATAGTACGAATGGTAGATAATGCATTATGGTCTTGTCTCCTACAAAGTGATGATCACTAACAAGTGCACCTCACTGAAGCAAATCATTTACAATAGTAAATTTACAAATTAGTGAAGCATTGATAAGACATAGCTGGTAGGCTGTCATTTCAGTGGAACAGAATAGGCTACATGAGCACCATTTTTACAAACCTACCTCTGTAACAAGCATATGTTTATAGATTTCAGGAGCATATTGACTGCAGTCTTGAGGATCTTTTGAGTCAGAATCAATGTCCGCTATGCCTAGACTATTGCAGGCATCTTCTTTCTGAAAGCTCATACTCACTCCTGCACAAGTACAATTCAAAGGATCATCAGCGAGAGAGACTAATTCCTACTTCCTATTCGTAATTTCTGCTGATACGAACCACAATCGACATTCTATGTACGTGTTCAATGCCATTAATTATGTAACGAAAAACAGGCAGGACCTTTGACCTTTATTTTCACGCTCAGCAGGTCTGGTGGAAGGACATGTTGGGAGGACAGCATTTTCTGCATTGTTCTTTACTTGAACAGGAACCCTGCATGGCTGCTTTACATCTAACATTTCTGTCTGATTAATCCCTTGAGCTTCTGCCTTCCTGGACTTTGAAGGTTCCTCCACCAGTTTTGTTTTCCTATTCTCTTGTTCAACCTCTGGAGCTCCCACAGGAAAGTCAGTAGCCACCTTGGAATTTTTCTTTGACTGACATCTTCTAGTTTGCTTGCTGGCCTATTAAACAGAAAGTAAGGCGAAGTCATTTGAAATTTACCCTCATCAGGTGAAAGCCAATCACCATTGGGTCTTCCGATGAACTCTACAACAAGCCCTGAGAGAACAGGGGAACTTCTTTACCTGAGCTCTAGTTGCATTGGTGCTGTTAGCGTCTGAATGCTCAGTTAAGATGTTGGTCACTTCTTGCAGCACGGTCCTCTTCTTACACTGAACACCACCCCCCATTTTGTTCTCTTCTGAAGCTGGTCTCTTTGAACTTACTTTGGTGACACGCTTCTGCTCATGTTTGAAGGAAGGTTTCGAGGCCGGTAACACACCTGCCGAAGCCCCAGAAGCTCTGGCGCGTGCTCTGGTAATCCGGACAGCGGGCTCTTCAACTTTGGCATCATTTCTATTTTCCTTGTTCATGTTGCTTTGCCTTGAGAGGAAGTGTTGAAGCACGAAACTTCAAATTGACACACTGCTCATTGTACCTGCAATGGCAAGTGCAATTCAGTCATCACTACACCTTCTACAAACACAAGCAAATAAGGCGTCTTCTATAAACACCAAATCTAAGTTCATCTGCTGAGTATCATTACTAAACCTAAATTAACGCAACCAAATACAGTCGTTTGATAGATCCACTAACAATGAGTTGATATGAGATCAGAGCTTAGAGTTTCACTTCTATGACCACATTCATTGCGATCTAAACACATCTCCACGTTAGGTAACCAAACCAAATCCATCTTTTTTTTATAAGAAAAAAAATACAAATCAAAAGAATTTGACTAAAACAACCAGCCAACCATTTGGAACACGATGTCAAAGTAACTTCAAAAAATTCCCGAGGACTTGAAAGATTTTAACTTCAATTTAAGCAGGGTCCCTTTGCACTTGCAGTCGCATCCTGGCTCCTGGTAATGAGCTCCAACGCTCTCATTGGTGTGCTTGAAGTAAATTTAGAAGCAAGCTCCCAACAAAACTGTGTAATCTTTACAGGTTTTGCTTAGAGGAAGAACTAGATCCGTGGCCTCAGGGTAGATGTAGAGCCAAGGAAAGAGATCTCAAGAACACAACAACAGAAAAGAACACATTTTTCTAGTTTAGGCATTTTCTCATTTAGAAAGTAGGCACATTTCCCAGATTTTAAATAAAACAATAAAAAACCCATAATTTTCCCCCTTCAAAATGAATCAAAATTTCCGAACTTTGACCCAGGATCTGTTCATCCGTGTACCCAAATGGAGAAACAACAGACAATTCCTCCTAAAATGAAACAGAATCCCAAGCTGAGCCCAAAGTCCACAAACCCGCCGAAGAAATAAGAAAATTTCAGCAAATCGGAGAGCTCGTCAGAGGGAATTCTGATTCCTCGTCCCCGAAAACCAGCTCCAAAGAATCCGCAATGCAGTAGGTCGAAAACACACCCCCGCCAAAATTTTAAAATGCTTCCCACTCAGGAACCAAGAAACAAAAAAAAATCAAAATCAAAATGAGGGCAAGAAGGACCACGGCGGCGAGGAAAAAAGCCCCTACGCCGCAGATCTATCTCGTGAAAGGGAAGTCAAAATTCCGCCGTCCCTTAACAGAATGCGATTCAAGCAAGAAGAAGTACCCAAATCAAAACGCCATCAATCAAACACACATTCCCCGGGAGAGCAAACAGGGAATCAGATAGAAAAGAGGAGAGGGAGTGAGCTTACTGCGCCTCCCTGCGAGCTCCTCCCTTCGCCGGCAATGCTGAGAAATTGGAAATGGGAAATGAAAAGAGCAGAGGAACAGGGAAGGGAAGGCTGGTAGTGGAGGATTATATTGTGAAGAAGAGAGCGTCTCAGCCTCAGCTGTGGAGTGTGTGGGAGACTGAAGAGAGCGGGGTGGTGCCACAGTTTGAAATCTTCCCCAAAAGCGGAAATGGAAAATTAAATTAATAAAGACCCCCAAAAAAAAAAAGAGTCTAAAATTTAAACAGTACTAGGAGTAGCAGCAATGGTTGTTTCCATTTTCCAGAGACAGCTCAAATAATGGCCTTTTTCAACCCCCAAAAAATCTGCACAACCACAACGACTTGCCTTGCATCTTGGTCCACCTATTTTGAGGGGCCAAAATTTGAATCTATATTTTCAGTATGGTTTCTAACTTTGTTGTGCCGAAATATGATAATTCGTCAAACGATATTTTTCAAGTACGACCTTCTTTCTAATTACTTAATTGTGTATAGGTTTTAATGAGTTAGAAGTTTAACGAACTTACACACGGGCTTATTTGATTCTAATTCTATTCATGTTATAATGGTTGAAACTTTGCTTTGCATTTTATTTCCTACAGCTACAAGTAAATAAAAACATTTAAATGAAAAGTTTTAGGTTTATTATGATTTGGAGAAATAAATGCTTTTTCCGTGAAATTTCTGTATCACGATGTTCTCGTTTCTTTTACCCGATTTACGAGGATGTGATAGTTGCTTTTGTAGTTGAAAGTTTTATTTATTCTTGTTTTTTCCATCTTTTGACAGGTAAGCTACCATGGTAATCGAGTTTAATGAAATTCACACCTAATCGCAAATGAAATGTTAGTGGCGTATTTAAAACTCTCGGGTCATTTGGATACATTTATGAAATGATGCAATTTGATCCGATTGTCTCATAATTGTCTCAAAAAAATTTATCAATTCAAAATATTTGCCCCTCCCCATGCCAATTCGAATTTATGCAAAATGAAGCAATCCAAGTTGCCTCAACCCAATTGTTGCATTCCTGTTTTGTGTTGTAAAAGTGACAGTTTGACTCCATTGCTTTATTTTAAGATAATTGGGTCAAATTGACTCACCTGATATCATCTTTCAAATAACCCTGGATTTGTCATATTACTTCTACTAGAATTGTAAATGTATATTGTAATTAATTTTGTGATACTTAAATGTGGCAACTCGCAACTACCTACTTGGTGGATTCAAATATGCCTTGAAAATAGTGGGTGGAGGAAATCTAGCAAGGCTAAAAGGGAAAATATGTACTTCCAAGTTCCAATTGACAACTTTCTTTTTTGTTATCTTTTCAAAAAAAAATTGAGTACTTGTTGGTCCATGAGGGGAAAAGGTTTGTGACCCAATTGCTAATAACCGCAAAATTGAGTAGGCAAAAGGAGAACTTTCCCCCAAATTCCAGTCTGTAAGCATTGCCATTGGTCGCTTTTTAATGTGTTGGGCACTTGGCAGCACCACGTGGTGGCAATTGCCGAGTTCTGAAGCTTTTAGCCTTTACTTACTCACTCGCTGAGTCACCACTCTTCCGCAGAGCTTCCTATTTATTTATTTATTTAAAAAATTCAAAAAACAAAAAAAAAAGTCTTTGGAAGATGATAATTTATTGACTTGGTCACTGTCTCTCTCTCTCTCTTTGGAACACAAGATAAGCTAAAAAGGCCGGCTATTAAGCTATACTTGGTATAATATCCGAGATCTATGAGCCTAGCTCTTGTTTTAAATTTTTCAACTTCAATATTTTCAAATATCTTTGTTTCAGATATCTTTGCTGGAGTTTATTTTGGGTATACAATGCACACTCAAATGCATTATATTAATTTAGATGATCCAATCCAGATGGTATAAAAAAAAACATGAACAATAGGTTAGGGTACTTTTAGTTTACTATGTCGATCTTCAAATGGGTAATTCTTCACATACCGAAATGTCTTGAGTTTTTTTATCTTATTTATTTCCTTAACGGGTTTAGTTTTGCTATTATTTTCCATAGGTTAAAGGTATAATATGTCATATTACTGTGTAATTTTATCAAACATGTTCATTTATTGTTATTTACATTAAACATACCTATTTAATTTGAAAAAACTTCTCAAATATCCTTTATGTTAAAATTGACTCGATTGGCCTTTATTTTGAGTTTGAAGTGCATAGCAATGGACACGTTATATTTTTGTATGAATTTCTCGTATAATTTTGGAAACATTATTAGATATTCCTTCATTGGTTTTTTTAAATACAATGTAATAGCCAAACCTTTCATTTCAAACAAAATAATAGCTAAACCTTTCAAAAAACAAAATAATAGCCAAACCGTTCACTTTCCATCCAATTGACCGTTAGTTTGACTATTATTTTGTTTAAAATGAAAAAAATTTGGCTATTATATTGTATTTACTCTTTTTTTTTACCATGTGACCTATTCTTATTTCCTTTGTTTTGAAAAAGCTCTACAATCATCATAAATGCCCTGATTATATGGTAACATCCCACCAGATTAACCAGATTGGTTCATAAATATAGGAGAACAGAATACAAGGAGAGGAAACATTCTAATTAATTTCGTTACCTTTTTGAACGAGCCAATTTAACAAATATTTGCCTTGTACCTTGTATTGGGAAACATAATTTCATATTTCTACAAAATTGGGGAATGATTTTCATATGATATGAACAATGAACCCTAGGATTAGATTGAAGGAAATGCAATTTTGGGGCGTGAAAATAACAATAAAAAGGAAATGAAATTTAGGGCAGCCAAAGAAAATCCAAAGAAAAATCTGCAGCTAAATACTCTCTCGTTCTACTTAGAAATTAGAATAAAAACTTCCATTGCATTTGCAATGGAAGATCAATACAGATTAGGCTTTCCTGATCAGATAACAATGCGAAATATAAGGAAATTGTTGGGCATGTGACTCGGACCTCTACGCGCTAAGGAGACACGTCAGGAAGCAACACGACCGACGGCGCTCCAACGCGAAGACCTCGAGTGCGGCAAAGGCGAAGGCTGCACGTGCAGGCGAAGAGGCCGTTATGCGCGCACCAGATCAAGGAGCGCCGGAAAGTGCCATCGTCCTTCTCAAGAGAGGGTCACATCAAGAAGGTCACATCAAGGTCCTAGATACAGTCCTAGGTAAACTCCTGACAGACCCTAAGTAGGGGTATGGTCTAGGTTGGGGTATGGTCTAAATCCCTGACATGGCAGTGGTCATGTCAAGGTACCCTCATGTAATCCACCCACTCACCCACCTCCATGTAGCCTAGAAATAGGGCATTTACTCCGGTGGGTGAAGGGGATCGCATTTTGAACATTCTATCTCTATAAACACCAACTTCTCTCTCTAAGATCCAGAGCTCTAAATCTCTCCCTTCTCAACCCCCGTTCCCCAAAAAACAGTCAATCCTCCCTCGTGTGCTCTTCTTGACCCACATTCTTCCCTGAGCCTCACTCCTACACTCAGTTAGGCTCAAACAATTGGTGCCCACCGTGGGGCCAAGAAGAGACGCAAAAGAAAATCAACCAATGGCGGAACGTAACCACGACTCGCCTGACGAAGCAACGCCCATTAAAGCAATGACCGACCCAAGGGTGTTTGCGGAAACCAGCAACCTCAATGCGGTGCTCATCGAAGAGGAAGAGCCCGAGCTGACAGCCAAAGAAATGAGGCAGCTAATGGCGAAGCAAAACAATGTCATAGCCGACATGCAGAAACAAATGAGCCAAGTCATAGCGCTCATGATGAGCAAGGAGGCCGCGGCGACAGCGGACGCGACGGCAGTCGCGCCTCAACAAGCCCCGGGAGAAGCGTCGGGAACCGCCCCGCCACCCCAACATGCGCCAACGGAACTCCCCGCGTGTGAAACACGGGGAGTCGAGCTGCCAGGAAGGGCGGACCTCAGTTTCCTGGAGCAAAACTTGTCTCCGCAATACCGCCCCAACCCACCTAGAAAGGCCCTCCACCAACCATTAAGCGCAGAAATCATGGCGGAGCACCTAAGCGGAACGCCACCCGCCCTCCCAACATACAACGGCACGACTGACCCTGAAGACCATGTGAGCACCTTCTGCCTGCGGATGCAACTCCAAACCAACTCCAACGCGGCACTGTGCAGAACATTCCCGTCAACATTCTCGGGAATATGCCTCGATTGGTATAATAGGCTCCCGAACGGGATCATCCGCTCGTTCGAGGAGTTCATACTTCTATTCACGACGAAGTTCGCATCCCAGAAAAGGAGGCCCCTCCACCTCAAGGCGCTGATAGACATCTGGCAAAAGGATGGAGAAAGCCTGCGGGCATTTTACGCTAGATGGTCTAGGGTGGCAATGGCCGTGCGCGACCTTACACCCGAGACCGCCGCCCACCACCTTATGGAGGCCACTAACAACATGGAGCTTAAGCGGGCGCAAGCAAAGAGGCCCATAACACTATCGACAAAATTGGAAATGAAGATCGAGAAGGCAATCACGCTGGAAGAGACCCTCGGAGCGGGATCTGTCAGGCGTTTCGAACCAGCAAAATTGCCGCGAGAGGAACAGGGGCGTCGGCAACTCCCCATCCCGCGAGACCAGTTGGCGCAGCTGCATAGCGGGCCGAAACGCCACCCCCCTCCCCCACAAGAGCAAGTTCAACGCGGACGATCGCCAGACAGGCGCGCGTCCAGCACCTTCACACCAAATGGACATCGACCAGTGCCTAATTAAGCGCGCGCAAGGTAACCTGGTCGGGTTCTCCGGGACGAGAGTTCCGGTAATTGGAGTGGTCACCCTCCCAGTAGTAATTGGAGACCAAGAGCCGCGCGTCTCCAAGCAAGTGGAATTCACAATAGTCGACTGCAAATCGGCGCACAATGGCATCCTTGGCCGACCGTTCCTAGAGAAATTCATTGCCCTCCCGTCAATGTGCCACCAGAAGCTTAAATTCCCCACCCAAACGGGAGTCGGAGAGGCACGGGGAACGCCATGGGAAGAGCGTGGTGAAGTGCGCCAAACCAACATCGTCGACACAAGAGCCGAGGAGCCTCGCCCGGAATCCATGGATTCCGATTTCGAAGTCGCGCTGGACCCCGCCGAACCGACCAAGAAAATACGCATCTCTACTCACGTCCGTAGTGACGCGATCGAACCACTAATAGCGCTGCTGAAAGAGTACAAGGAGCTGTTCGCTTAGTGCACAGAAGACATGCCGGGAGTTCCCAGGCAAATAGCTCAACATTGCCTCGCGGTCCCAATCAACGCGGAACCAAGGCAACAAGGGCGAAG